AGACCTTTCAGATATATTTGCATTACACTGGCTCGTTCACAAGTGGTGGTATGTAAGATATTTTATGTTACATCAGGCAAGTGGCCGCATGATAAGCGGGAAAATTACGCAGTGTAGTCTTTATCCAGTCATAAAAACAGAATTCACAGTTTAACGCTGAATGTCACGGAATTTGTCAAATTTTGAATGAATTAATCAAAAGTAGGTCATTACACTTAAATCAAATCACGATATGGACTAGTATCTGTAAATATTAAGCCGCAAAAGTCGATTTAAATATGAATTCTGCATGTTCTGCGTGTCTCTGTTAATGAAATGGCGCAGACGCGTGGTTTCATTTACTACACACACACTGAAGCGCACGTGACACTCTCGGTGATTTCAACGTCTGCCGTCTCACTAAATGAGGACGTAAATATATGAACAACATCTCCAGAACTGCTCTGAGAGTCACTTCATGAGCATTTTTTAGCATTTGATTTGAGTAAAACTAGCGTCATATCATACACAGAACTGTAAAGTTATTCATGGCAACCCGTCAAAATAAAACTCCGGTTTGATTTGAAGACATTGTGCCTATAACTATTTTTCAGTAGAATGTACATAGCCTACTACTACTACTAAAATGAAACAAACATTATTTTTTAAGGAATAATCACACAAAACATTTCTTCCATGTTTTAATTTTAATAGTAAATCCCCTTTGTTGGCCAAAAAATCTTATTTGCTTAATTTTCAATAATTAAAAGATAAATGATCAATTAAATTAATATTTTATGCCTTCATTTGATAACCAGAAAAATGTAAATACACAACACAGAATTTCTGAGGGAAAAAAAAATGAATAAGGCTACTTTATGAAAAAAAATGAATAAATTAAGTTGTTTTATGCATTCAAATAATTAGACATGCTAACAATAAATAATATGGTGAGAAAAAATAAAACATTTCATAGGGCCCTAAACATGTAATTTTTGTTAAACTTTTAATAAATTGATGTGAAAATGTATAAGTTTAATGATTTTAATTAATTAGACATGCTTTTTAATTAATAAAATGTAATTTAACTATTAAAAAGGAGTCGAGAAAAATTTAAATGGAAAAAAACGGAATTTGGAAAAAAAAAAACAGAATTTAGGAAAAAATCAAATGGATTTCATAGGGCCCTAACTATCCCTCAGCCTTGCCGTGCCCCCAGTTTGGTAACCACTGCTTTATTCTTTTAAATTGATACATTAATCGTGTTTATTATATATTTTTTTATTAAAGTGGAAATCAGTTTACTAAATAATGTAAACTTGACTGACTGCTTCACTTCCACTTTAAAGGGATATTTATGTTGTTTATTATTTATTTTTATTTATACTATTTATAATTTTTGTGCAATTACTTGCCTGTCAGTTGAGTTTGTGTTTACATGTTGTTTATTACTGCAAAAAATTGATTAAAATAGATGTTTAATTTCATAAAGTACAAGTTGATTTCAAAATGCAAATACTTTTTTGCATTTTGTGTTTTTCAGTTGAATAAAATACTATTTTTCCCTATATATTTCATCATTGAGGATTTCGTTCTCGTCTCGTCTCATTCTCGTGAACCCAGTCTCGTGTCTCGTCTCGTCTCGTCTCCCTTTCTACTATTTATAATTTTTGTGCAATTACTTGCCTGTCAGTTGAGTTTGTGTTTACATGTTGTTTATTACTGCAAAAAATTGATTAAAATAGATGTTTAATTTCATAAAGTACAAGTTGATTTCAAAATGCAAATACTTTTTTGCATTTTGTGTTTTTCAGTTGAATAAAATACTATTTTTCCCTATATATTTCATCATTGAGGATTTCGTTCTCGTCTCGTCTCATTCTCGTGAACCCAGTCTCGTGTCTCGTCTCGTCTCGTCTCGTCTCGTCACACCCCTACTAGCTAATTACTGTTTACAAGACACACACTAATCAATGACATCTGATGCTAGTGGTCTTGACTTGCCATGTTTGAATATTTATTTTTGGGTGAATTAATTATTATTATTTATTAAGTAAAATAAATGTAAATAAAAATAAATGTGATATTAAAACAGAAAACATTAGATTAGTGCATTTAAGTGCTACTTAAGCTACACAAGTTCTAGCTATACTTCCAACTTGGAAACTTACAAAACCAAGGTTGCATTTTTTTTCTCTATTGGAGTTAAGAAAATCAGGAGGTCATTTGCTCCTAGAGATTTGCATGCCGAGTGAATTCAGTTTTGCTTTTAGCTATCAGTAACCTTCAGTGCTTCTCTTCTGTTAGCCTACTAGCTTTACATTGAAATGATCGGAGGTTCCATTGCTTACAGGTCAAGGCAGCTCTTGTAGCCAATTCACAAAAGCTGCAGGTCTCCACCATAAAAGACCAGCATCAAAAAACAGGACTGGCCGTCTGTTTGGCCTCATAAGAACATGGAATATTAATGCCGACCATCCGCTTCTGCATCATCACATCAGTCACGATTGTTCCGTCCTGTGGTTCCGGAAAAGAGAATATGATGTGTGTAGGGCGTAGGTGCTTTGATCCCATCCATTCCGTTTGCTGCGTCCCTGAACTACCTGAAACTACGAAGCAGGACATAAGCCTTTATGTCCAGCTCCCCCATCACACCTTGAGAAGGTTCCTCACATCTTCCCAAGACCAAAGACCAGTGTTGAAAACTCCAGACCTCTCATCCTTGCTGTGTTTATGTTGATCGGCTTTGCGTAGCAGAGGTTTTTTGGTTGAAGTTTGGGGGGAATCTGGTGTAAATAATTTGGCAGAAACATCATCCATAATAAAACTCTCACCTGAGGGGAGTGTAGCGCCCCAGGCACTGCCCCGGTCTAGCAGCTCGCCCCACCCATGCTGTGTGCCAGGCCCAGAGAGACCAAGAGACTAAGAGAACTAAGCCTGGAGATCAAAGATGGCTCCGATTAATAGTATCCCGTGGGTGAAGGGCGGCCGGGGCTCTGTATATATACAAGTGCACGGATGAGAAAAAGACTTTGCCAGTTGCTATTGAGAAGCCAGTCAGAGGTTAATTAAATGAAGCATGAAAATCCCATGGTGCTTTATGAAAACTATTGGAATTATGGGAACTTATCTTCTTGTCTGTCTCGACCTGCTGCTCATTCTTCAACCCTTTTTGAATGGAGAACTTGTTTCCACAAAGAAAAATGCTACAACTTTAGCTACAGCGTTCCTTATTAAACGTTAGCAAGTACGTTCATAATTAAGGTGCGTTCTTGCATTACAGCAAATGTTTGCGCCATTAAACCAAATGTTTTATGATTAAAAAGTCAAAACAAAAACTAAGCAAAAATTTGCACACCAAAAAGGTCCAGTTTTATTGTCAGTAGTGTAGCGATGAATGAAGTCAAACAGAAGTCACCTTCAAACCAAGCATTTTTATGATGGTCAACACAGCAAATTCACGTGATCAACATGAACCTGTTGCAAAATCTGTGTTGGGAAATCTTTTGCCCTCACACGAAATTCCTAATTGCATGGATTTCTATTCAGAGGACTGGATTTCACCCATGAAAAATGGCCAAACAACAGTAAAAGTGACCACACCTTACATGAACAAAATTCTGCTAATTTTATCATGATTGCTTTGCCGCGATAGTTACATTGATTGATTGATTGATTGATTGATTTTATTTTATATTATTTGTAAATTTAATATATTTTTTATAATTTAAAAAGAAATATTAATAAATGTAAAAATTAGACATTTACAATAATAAATTATACAT